TTTTTATGTCCATTTCAGTTGTAGTTTAAAGAGGTGTACTTCAGAACATCCCTAGTCAAGGCTGTCATGGCTTGTGGATGCATTATAGCAAGTGCTCTGTAAATCCTTTCCAATCTGGTAAGAGTTGGCTTCATGTGAGTGAGGATTACAAAGGCCTCTGACCCTTGGCTTTTGAGGCTGTGAGGAGGGCTTGCATCACTCAGAATGAAACCTTTTTAGATATGTTGAGTTGCAAAAAGCATTTCCGGTACAGTCAGAATGAAAACTGTGAATTGGGATTATTCATATAGATCACCAAAAGTCTGGGCAGAGCTAATACTAATACCAGCTCATTTTCCTACTAGTTCTTACTTCCAAAACCTTGAGTGGGTTATTGAAGCTTTAGGACTTTGAAATTAAGTACTGGAATTGTATGTAAACTCCTTCTTGTAGATAAATTGATACTAGATTTATTTAAGATTATTTACATATAATGAATATTTTCTAAGGTTCATATAGTAAATGCTATCCACCTTTAACCAGATCATCTCATAAAGTGACTGGCATTCAAAGGTGAAGCTGGATCATTTCAGGAATTCTGCAAGTGGTGGCAAGGTGACGGGTAGCTTGCTTCCCTGATTGTAAAATTGATGTCATTTGAGAAACTGGGAATTGGAAATATAAGAGTCATATTTTTCCCATAATTTTTAATTGCTGGTCATACAGGCATAAATTCAGAAAGCAAGAGATTATAAAAGCAAAGAATAATTCTCATGATTCTTTTTTCTACTTGAGAGACTCTAGTGTTAGAGTAATAATAAAAAAAAAGGGGACTTTTTTTTAGTGTGTTAATGCCACATAATGTGAGCTTCTCAGAATGTGATGACAGACTTCCAAATGTGATGAGTAGTCAGAAGAGAATCAGTTGATTTTTCAAGAAAGTAAGAATATAAAACTTCCCAACTCATAATATTGAACATTGACTCCTCAAAAATATTAGGTCAAAATTTTGGTGGCTGACTTGGTAGCTTTGTTGTTTTGCTGAAAGGAGTGTTCACTTGTGTCATCTAACTTCACATTGTTCCTTCAGAAAACTGGCTTTTTAGAGAGATAACACTATTTACCTTTAAAGGAAAGGAAGTTGTGAATTCCTCAGTGTTACTTTAGTTGCTGTTGGTTATTTCACAGCCCAGAAGGAAAGATGGAACCTGACTTTTGCACCAAGATCAGAACAACAAGCTGGAAGAAAAAAATTGAAATTTTATAGTAGACACTTGTAGTTGAATGAGCATATAGCTCAATGTGACTTAACACTACCTAAAGTTGGCATGTGGAGGACCAAAACCTCTTAAAATAAAAAGAACTGTCTCTGAAAACAATGTTGGTGTTTGTTTGTTTAATTGTTCCAGGTTGTTCAAATGTATCTGGTCATCCTGTGGTACCTTCCTGTTAGAGAAGAATAAACCCTGTGGTTGTGATGATTAACTTAATTTCTACAGTATATCGGTTAAGTGGGCTTATTTCTTCTGCTTCAGCAAGGAGATCCTTCAATTCAGACTTGGAACCTAGGAGTCTAGAAATGTACCTTTCTTAATTTTTGTTTGTTTTGTTTTTGTTTTTTAAAATCCTGCAAAGTAATTTGGGGCATTGCCAAGAATCTATATAGCTTACTATCTGATGTAGTGTGTTCATTTTGTGGTATGTTTTTTTTTTTTAAAGACAATGAGCTGCTTTATGACTACCTCTTTTTCCAAAGCAGGATGGGTGGAGTTCACCTGTCTCATTTGCTTAGCTCTTTTGAGCATCTTTGCTTCTTGCTCTTGTTGACATGAAGTAAGGATGAAAAGGTACTATTTCTTTTTCTAATTACGAAGTGGGTAGCATTTGTGTTTCATATGTAACAGTTGCTGGGTAGAATTGAATTAAATATTTGAAAACGATTTCATTCTTATGTGGATAAAAATTTTACCAACTACTGTTACTGAAGAACAGAGTATTACTATCTTCGTACTCTTTAATCCTAGGTGACTTTTCAGATTAACATTTCTCAATATCAGGCAGAGATCATATTTAAAACAGTTTAAATCTCTTCCTATCTATTATGCATTCAAACAGCCACAGTTTTCTTTGATGCACCAATAGCCAGAGAGACTCTGGCCTTGGCCCTGCCTCTGCCAATTTGTTGACAAGAGACTATCATATAACTGCATACATTTTCGACTAGTTGGATTTCAGAAGCCATCTTGGCTTAAGAAAGTTTGTCTCCTGATGTCTCTATATTGACTATGCTTGAGTATATTAAACTTTCCCCTTCTTAGAAAGTCAAGAATATTATTGTTAAATTCACTTTTTGGAAATGATTTACAGGTTTCACTGTATTTTTTTCTACTACAGATGATGAAAAAGTGCTTGCAAAGAGGCTCTTCTTCCCCCTATATGGCATTCATAAACAAAGCACTCTACAGAGTAAGAAAGGGAGACTGGAACTCTAATCTGTTTTCAGAAAACTTCTGTTACGTACCAGGCAGATGACCAAGTGCTGGGGCATTAACATTGAACAAGTCCCTTCCCTCATAGAAATTACTGTCTAATTTTTTTTTTTACTGTGCTCAGCTTAAAATACAGCATGAATCTAAGTACTAAAATTACAGTACTTTGCAAGGTAACTTCGGAAATTGGTAATTCGAAGATCAAAGCTCTCAAAACTAGTATTAACAGAATTGTTAAGCAATTCAAGTGGTGTTCTTTATTTACTGATCTACTGATTCTTGAGAGTCAGTTATACCAAGCGTAATATATGAATCAGGATCTCTGAAATATACCCGGGATATTTAGTAGCCTTTCCCTTTTGTTAAAAGGAAACTTACGCATTAGCACATCCTTTGCTGCCTTCTACAACTGAAGGAGTGTCACTCTCCACTTGTACCCCGGGTTCCATCCCCTCTCGCCTGCTCAGGTTTGTTCTGCAGTTATCCCCTCCCCTGCACTGGCAGTTTCTCTCTCATCAATGTATAAAACTCTGTCTTAGATAATCCTACTTTTAAAAAACCCTTGACCCCACATCCTTTTCCAGCCACTACCCACTTTTCTGTTCCCTTTCACAACAAAACTTGGAAGTGCCCTGTGTAATTACAGGGGCCACTTTGTCACCTCTCTTCCCCTCCTCAGCCATTGCAAGTGGGCTTTTAGCCCCATGACTCTACTGAAATTGCTCTTATCAAAATACTCAAGGACCTCTCTCTTGCCACACTGAATAGATAATTCTCAGTCCTCATCCTGTTCAACCTTTGGGCAGCATTTGAACCAGCTGACCACTCCCTTCTTGAAACACTCTTTGCTTGGATTTTGTAACACCACACTCACCTGCTTTTTCCTTAACTCATTGGTTATTAGTTTTCAGTATTCTGTATGGCTCTTCTCCTCTTAACTCCCCTGAATGTTGCAGTAACCCGGGAGTGTACCTCTGGCTACCTCCTGCACACTCTCCCAAGATGATCTCATCCAGGCCTCATTTGCATGCTGAGGACTTCTAAATCTTTCTCTAACCCTTGACTACTTTTTGGATTCCCAGACTTGTATAACCAGTTGCCTATTTGACATTTCCATTTGTATAATCACAATAAGCATGATTTTAGCGTTTACTGAGTGTTCACTGTGGGCCAGGCAGTATTCTGAGTACTTCACCTGTATTATTTCTCCTAATGTTGCCCACCCAGTGAGGTAGCACTACTATTCCCAGGTGAGGAAACAGGTATGCATTGAAGCACTTGAGTATCTAGTAGGTATCTTATATTCCCATGTCCAGAAGGTCTTGATTTTTCCCTTTCTTCTTGTTTCAGAATGACTGCCATTTACCCAATTGCTCAGGCCTAAAATTGAAGAGTTATTTTTGATTCCTCTCTTTATTCATATCCCGGATAACCCATCAGCAAATTCTATCCATACTACCTTCAGAATACCTTAAATCCAACTTCCTCTCATCAATTCTACCACCAAAACCCCAGACTTACCCATTATAATATTTTGGCTGGACAATTCCCTCATCTCCTTGCTTGTGTTCTTACCTCACCAAAGTTTGTTTTTCACAT